GGTTTGGCGGCGGCGCCGTTCTTCACGCAGCCGTCCGCCGTCAACTTAATTTACTACTGCGTTCATAAGGGGTTGCTGAAGGTGCCGATTTCGGAGGAGTCGTCGTCGGTCCCTGGGTTGCCTCCGCTTCTGCCGGCGGAGATGCCGTCGTTCATTTACGTTGGTGGGTCTTATCCACAGTACTTCCATTTGGTGTTGAATCAGTGGTTAAATGTGCACAAAGCTGATTGGTTCATCGTCAACTCTATCTACGAGCTCGAGCCTCAGGTCCGCCTCTTCCTCTGCCAGTTTTTTTTCTGATTTTTCCCTTCCCATTTCTAACCCTTTTTTAAGGAAAAGAAAAAAACAAATCTCTCTCTCTCTCTGCCTTTCTCTCACTTATTTATCAAAAGTTCAGTAGTAATCCATAAGAAGATACATGTTAACCGATTAATATATTTTTTAGATTCAAACTCATGATGTAGGACCTAAGTATTTTAATTTGCAGAACCATACTAAGTTGAATCGTAATTCTTAAAAAAGATAGATATTGATTGATTACCGCTAAATTACAAGTTTAGTCTTTCAACTTTAATTTTAATATCTAAGAAGTTCCTATACTAAAACTATCATAATGCCCATGAATCTTAAATAGGTTTATTACGTCTAAATTGTTTATTTTATATCTAATAGATCATTGACCTATCAAATATTTTTTTATCTTAATACTTAATTTTGATAAAGAATTTTTTACAGTATGAACTAAATTGTTACAAATTTTAAATTACAGACACTAAATTATTACGTACTAAAGTTCAGAGATTAAATTATTAATAATTTAAAAGTAAATTGTTACCTACTAAAATTTGTGGGACTAAATCGTTACTATATATAGCAAAATAGAGGGATCCGAATGTATTTTTTAACCATATAATTTTGAAGCTTTTTTAACTCTAAATGAAATCGGGTCTTGAATGCACGATTTTCGCTGCACTCATCAATCAATTGTCAAATGGATATGATTTTGGCAATATGAATAAAACTATCATACTTCTAAAGATATTATACAATCTACTCTATACTATTTCCTTCATTTTTAAACATAACGTGTGGATAAAATTACAGGCGGTGGAAGAAATGTCAAAAATTGGTCCCACATTGACAATAGGGCCAACAATTCCATCTTTCTACATAGACAACCATAACGAAAATGACAAGAAATATGAGCTGAATCTCTTCTCAATCAAGCCTGAGGAGGCATCTTCCACAACCAAATGGCTCGAAACCAAACCAAAAGGCTCCGTCGTGTACATGTCATTCGGCAGCTTGGCCAACATGAGCATAATTCAAATGGTAGAGCTTGCAGTCGGATTAATCGAGAGCAACTACTTCTTCATCTGGGTGGTTAGGGAATCAGAAGAGTGGAAGATTCCGAAAGGCTTTGTAGCGGAGAAGGGATTGATTTTGAAATGGTGTTCCCAAATAGAAGTGTTGTCGAACGAAGCCGTTGGGTGCTTCTTCACGCATTGCGGGTGGAACTCGACGCTGGAGACCTTGTGCTTGGGCGTGCCAATGGTGACCATGCCGCAGTGGACGGATCAACCGACGATCGCCAAGTACGTCGAGGATGTTTGGAAGGTTGGCGTGAGAGTGAAGGTGGGTGAGGATGGGATTGTGGGGAAGGAAGAGATCAAAGCTTGTATTGGAACAGTGATGGAGGGAGACAGAGCCATAGAGTTCAAAGAGAATGCTTTGAGATGGAAACAAGTTGTCCTGCAAGCACTTGGAGAAGGTGGCAGTTCCATGAAGAACATTGATCAGTTCATTTCCAGCTTGAGAGAGAAGATATCTGATAATTGAGGTCTAAGCACTTTCAGCATTCATCTATCTTGCGGATGCATTTAAAAAATGAATCATATGATCTCTAAACTTTTAATTATGTATATCTTCCGTTGTTATCATTAAAATTAATACATGAACATAAATCAAAAATAAAATTTCATCTACTCTTTCCTCTTGAAGTTGGAGATTCAAATATCTATCTCTCGTATTTGTAATACTAAAAAAACGTTACGTTGTTGGAGATTTTAAAAGCAATATAATTGTAGTTTACTTCATATTTTATAGCAGTGGATGTGGGATCTTGATTTGTCTTAGACGAAATAATTTACCTACCATTAAATATCATGCTTTTTGTCTCTTTACATAATAATTCTATGCCTCCATGAACAAGTATTTACAGTTACATAGGTGTAGGTTAGTATCAAGTTTAAAAAGGAATTCAAATTTCGATTAAATAATAATTAAAAAAAGAAACTGTGTTAGGACAAAGAATTCAATTCTAATTAGCTCTCGATACGAGCTAATTAGAATTGCATACCTGCGTAAGGAGTTAACCCTTAGTATTTATACGAGCTTAGAAGTGGGTCCCACTTAGTCAGCCACTTATCACAACACGTGAATCACTAAGTGAATTCAATGATAGTGGCGAGTTAGAAGTTGAGTAACAGTTGGAAATCAGTTATGAATGGTGATGTAGTTATATTTAGATTTGAATCAGAAGATGGCTGAGCTATATCCTTGGTAGAGTTATATTCTTGGCATAGTTATTTCCTTGATCGAGCTATTAATAATTGAATTTTGGGTCTAATAATTTATGGTGTTTTTTGAGTTATTTGATAGTTTTTACGAAAATTTTCTTTGGATAGTTTAATCGTCTTTAGTATTTCTTTCTTTTGTAGGGCTTGAGTTGAAGAAAATGAGAAAAAGAGCAAATAAAGAAGCAAAAGCAAGCCAAATTCCAGTGCATCAGCCAAATTCCAGTGCATTTTCGACATCAAGCCAAATTCCAGTGCATTGGATGCACTGGAATTTGGCTTGACGTCGAAAATTGACAAAATGGCAGAATGTTGGGGTGCCTAACTAGGCGTTGTCGACATAATTTTGTTAAATATCTCATTTTAGTCCTAGCTACAAGGGAGGAAAAACAGAGGGATTTTAGATGAAAAGTGAATTTTTTAGAGAGAAAAGTTGGAATTTTGAGAAGATTGGGAGGAACGCGAAGAACGGAGGCTCGAAAGATCGTCAGATTTGTTTTCTTTCTCTTCTTCTTTCTCTCCTTTAGCTTCAACTTCCTTCAATGATGTTGATTGGAATTTTCTTTTTGGATTCAAGCATGAATTAAATACATTTTCTAGGCAATGACGTAGCATTATCAAACCTTATTCTTCTAAATTCTTTATTTGATTTTCTTTCTAATCTTGTTGGTTGTGAGAACTTTTTCTATTCTCAATGCATTGTTTAGATTTGACCATTCTTTACATTGAATCCTTGTTATAAATCAAGGTTGAGAAACAATATTGTTGACTAGATTTGAATAGTTCTCCAAAATTAAAGAAGAGATATAGATATTCTTGTGAATTTTGTGGTATATTTTTTGGGTTCTATGTGCTTAACTATTTGAATTGCTGGAGTAATCGTAAAGATATAGATACTCTACTTTCTGAAGAAAATCATTATTCCTTGAGAAAGAATATCGAGTCAATAGGGTAGAATCCGCCAACAACCATTGTTTAGAAAAAWTTCGAATAAAGTAGTAGGAAGAGTTGGCGATATCGGTGAAGTCATGCTCTAGAGTTTAATCCGCTTGAATTTACTCTTGATTCTTGATAGTTTTGTTAATCATGCTCTAGAGTTTAATCCGCTTGAATTTACTCTTGATTCTTGATAGTTTTGTTATTTTATTTTGTTATTGAACTAGTTTCATTTACAATTACTTCATTTCATCACTATTAAATATTCGACATTCAGATAAAATTGAAGCGGAGAATTTGGTAATTAGTAATCATTGATTCTCTGGGAGACAATACTTTACTTCTTTCTATATTACTTGTGACGTACTCTTAGCAGGGCTGTATCCTCGACAGAGCTATTTCCTTCGCCGAATTATATCCTTGACCAAACTATAAATTAAGGTCGAGGTATTACTCTTCAAAAATGGGTCTAAGGCTTCACATACCTCAGCCTATTGGTCCACATGTCATGTCATTTTTCATCACCTAACATTGGTCCCACTTTCAAGTTTGAGCTATGCCCATGGGGAGAGAGGGTCAACTCATAAGTTTTGATCAGGGGATGGCCTTCCTCTAAGCTTGACTCAAGGTCGTTCACAAATTGTTAGCATGTCGTAGTGAGCTATTTCGTGATATGTCTTAATTTAAACAGACGTGAACTCTCCAATGGAAGCTTACATTTAGGTGTGGTGAGCTATTTCATGATAACACTTCCTTTAGGCATACGTGAGCTCTCTCATAAGAGCCGACATCATTTAGGTCGTGCAAAGTTGTTTCGTGATAGCTCTTCCTTTAAGTGTACGTGAGCTCTCATGGGAGTTGACGTTTAGGGCGTGGGAGCTGTTTCGTGATAGCTTCTCCTTTAAGCGTAGGTGAGCCCTCTCATGAGAGCCGACGTTGAGGCCATGAGAGCTATTTCGTGATAGCTCATCTTTTAGCCCATATGTGAGCTCCTTTATGGAGCCACGTTTAGGTCGTGCGGAGCTATTTTGTGATAGCTCTTCCTTTAGGCATACATAAGCTCTCTTATAGGAGACTACTTTAGGTTATGGGTATTGAGAATGACAATTGAATTGGAACACTTCAAGGAAATGTGGATGGTTTAGCATATGTTGTGGAAGTCAAAGGAGAAGAAAGTGGCCAAATGACACATGGATGGCCCAAACTTTTTGTGGATTTTTTATTTTTTAAATTCAAAATCTATTTTGGCCACTCCCTTAGTATAAATATGGGTCATTTTCCTTCCAAATCAATCATCCCAATTCATCCCATCATCTCTCATATGCTATCCCTCCATTATACTATTTTCTATCTTTCCACCACCTTAAACTGAGCACGAGATTGATTCCACTCTCATTCCGACGAGTGTACGAAGGTCACCAAGCCGAAGATTGCTCCAGGTCAAGCACGCTTAACTTTGGAGTTCTTACGATTGGGTTACCGAAAAGGAATGTGCATTTTGTTAGTATAGGTAGTGACTATAAATTCTTTTAAGCCTTTCTTGAACATTCTTCCATGATCTCATGATCCCTCTCATTCGGATGTGGTATCGGTTCATTCATGTACCCCTCCTCTCTAGTCGGGCGTCACATGCCCACCAGCTTCCGCCTTGGTTCGTCCTCGAACCACATCTTACTGGGAGAGGTTCTGCTCTGATACCATTCAGCTCAGAATGGTTAAGAAAGGCTTAAAAGAATTAATAGTCACTACCTATACTAACAAGGTGTATCTTCCTTTTCGGTAACTCAATCGTAAGAACTCCAAAGTTAAGCGTGCTTGACTTGGAGCAATATTCGACTGTGACCTCCTAGTTACTTTACTAGGAAGCACTCGTGTGACGGTGATGCGACCGGGTCGCAAGGGATGCAGGGGGATGCCTCTTTTAAGTAGCTTAGAACTAAATGGTGATGCGGTCGGGATGCAGTCCTTGTCTATGGTCATCTTCTCAACCATATGAATGACTCTTTTTTTTTATCTCTTTGTAGTCCAAAAATCTACAAAGGTCATTTGGGACACATTAGAGTCTAGATATGGCGGGGATGATACAAGTAGGAGAAAGTACGTCCTTAGTAAATTACTGCAATTTCAAATGCCAGACGACAAACCGGTGATGGATCAAGTTCATGAGTACGAGAACCTAGTGGCAAGTGTGCTGTTTGAAGGCATGGAGATGTGCTAGATTCTTCAGGCCAATGTGTTGCTCAAGAAATTTCCTCCTTCCTGGAGTGATTATCGTAACCACCTGAAACATAAGAAGGACCTAACTCTATAAGAGCTTATCAGTCATGTGAGCACGGAGGAAGCCAACAGGCTAAAGGATAAGCTCTCTTCTCAATCCCTAAATTCAGCTAAAGCTAATTTAGTTGAATCTTCTAGTGCTTTCAAAGACAGGTTAAAAAACAAGAGGAAGCAAATTGCAAGGGATAGAGCTCAAAAGAACAAAAGTCTCCAACCCAAAAATACTGGCGGAAGAATCGAGAAATTGAAACTAGTATGCTATGTCTGAGGAAAACTCGGGCACAAATCCTATCAGTGCACCTAGAGGAAAGATAGAAAAGATCAAAGGACTACTCCACAAGCCAACCTTGTAGAGACGGATGATATCATTGCCGCTGTGGTTGTGGAAGCAAATCTGGTGGAGAACAAATTCGACTAGATTCTTGACACATGAGTGTCTAGACATTTCTGCTCGAATCGTGACCTCTTCCACGACTTTCAGGACTTCCCTGATGGCGAATGTGTTTTTATGGGGAATTCGGCCACAGCTGGAATACTTGGGAAAGGGAAGGTTCTCTTGAAACTCACGTCTAGCAAAACTTTATCATTAAGTAATGTGTTTTATGTTCCTTCCCTGCGTAGGAATTTGGTGTCAGGAGGTCTGTTGAACCGAACCGGACTTAATATTGTGTTTGAGGTCGACAAGGTTATCATCACAAAAAATGGTGACTTTGTTGGTAAGGGCTATCTTACAGATAGTTTGTTTGTTTGTTCTCAACATCACTTCTTCAAATGAAATTAATTACAGTTCTACTTTCATCGTTGAGTCTCTTGATGTGTGGCATGGTAGATTAAAGCATATGAATATTGCATCGATTAAAAGGCTTAGAACTTTAAATTTAATTAATTCTTCTGATTTGCCTGAAACTGCAAAGTGTCCTATCTATGTAGAAGTAAAGTTTGCTAAAAACCTTGTAAATGTGTCACTGCAAGGTGTACTGAACTCCTCGAATTAATTCATTCTGATTGACCGGATTTCAAAAATACAACTAGCAGAGGTGGAAAAAATTACTATATTTCTTTTGTTAATGATTTTCTAGATATACGAAAATATATCTCCTAAAATCTAAAGATGAAGCTAGTAGTATGTTTTTAAAATTCAAAGCTGAGGTAGAAAACCAATTAGACAGAAAGATAAAAAGGATAAGATCATATAAGGGTGGTGAATATAGTGATAATTCGCTTAGA